CTCGCGGAAACGTTCAAGTTTCTTTATTTTAGTCTACATTACGATATTATTATATTACTAGTTGGAATACAAGTGGTAATGTAAGGGGTGACAGACAGAGGGGTGACGTGGCGGTCGTTGAGCGTAGGTTTCCTGTTGCAGAACCGCAACAAGGCGTTGGTGGGTGAGCAGGCGACGACGCGCGCACCTACGGCGCCGCGGCGACCTCTGAAACGCGTGGAAGCAACGACTTACCGGCCTGCGACCGCGGCGCGGTTGGGCGCGGGCCCGCCGGCCGTTCTGGCCGCGGCACCAGCGCATGCACACGCGCACCTGCAGCGCCGCGCAGACAATTACGCACCATCGCCGCTTCAGCTGCTCTCCAGCAAGATCACCGATCAAGTGCGTCTTGAGCCCTCCAAAGAAGTCTTCTACCAGAAAATCGAAGTAACTCCTTCTTACCAGCAACATCCGGTGCAACAGCAGCATCGGCCGGACAATATATTTTTTATCCAGAGGCCGCAACCACAGGAGCAGAAATCACTTGTATATCAGGGTCAGCCTCAGAACGATCAGCAAAGCTATAGAGTACAATTGCTGCCTCACCAGCAGGAACTACTACAGAGACAACAGTTAGATGATCTGGAGAAACAAAGGAGACAACACTATGAGCAGCAGCAACAGAAGCAAATTGAAAACCAGCAACTACTTGCACTGCAACAAGAACAGCTGCAAAGGCAGCAACTAGAAGAGCAACAGAGAAAGCGATTGTTGCCACAAACACCGGAACAGTTCAAAAACCAGCAATTTTTACCAGAACAGCAGGACCAATTCGTGATAGAGCAACAACAAGAGCAGTTTCAAAGATACAAACAGCAGGAGGAGCAGCAGAGATATCAATTGCTACTGCAGCAACAGGAGCAGTTAAGGCAAGAGCAGCAGCGCTTAGAACAATTGCAAAGACAGCATCAGCAGCTGGAGCTGGAGCTACGGAGGCAGCAGCAAATGCAACAGTACTATCAGGACCAGGCGCAGCGTCAGTCTAATCTGCCACGATCTATCACCAACCTAGAAATGTCTCAACAAGAACAATTATACCAGCAGAAACGGATGCAGCACGAGCAGCGATTGTTCGACGAGCATGACCGCCGTCAGTATCTGGAGTACCCGCAACAGTACGCACCCGTGCAGAGAGTCAGGAGGAGCGGAGAGACAGTGCCGGTTAAGAGAAGCCACCGCGGTACGGGCGCGGGCGAAGTGTCGATCCAGAGGAGCGTTGACCTTGACCTAGTTGCAGGGTCGGGGTCACAGTGAGTGTGGAGGGCACGGGGCGTGGGGCCGACCGCCGTTGTGCAACAATGCGTCGTTGCAGCGCAGCGCCTTGCGCAATTTCTTCATACTGGTCGAGCCGCGGCCGCTCATCCGCTCTGATCGACTTTCCTCCATCGACTTTTTACCGAATGCTACAAAAGTCTCGGCTCGCTTTTTAAAATTTCTTTATACGCTTAGCGTTCGAAACATCGCTGGTCATTCTTATTGGTTAGGTGAGGCTCTGAGTATTTTGGACCTGTGTAAGGTAATGGTCGTTGATCACGAGCAGCGTTCACACAATGCCTAATTATGTTATACAATTACCGCGAAACTGCTCTACTAAAGCGACCGGCTCTCGTTCTTGGCCGCTGAGGCTCACCAGAACAACGCGTGAGATAAACGAGCAGCGTGCGCGCGCGCCGTGACTGCGCCGCCCTTCGGCACACTCCATTCACCGATTTGTACAGTTCATCTTAGTGTGATGCCCGCGCTCCGAATCTCCATTCGAAGAGACCCCTTCCGGTGCGACCTTAATTTTATACAACCAGAACGTGCATGTTTAATGTCCAGTGGCAGCCGATTTATTTTCCCTGTGGGAATGGAATAGTTTTACAAAAGTAGATTCGCATCAGCGATGCTGGTGTTCTCGTATAGATGGTGCAGTAGAATATTTTAATGACAGGTTGATTGAATCGTGTCGATACTTGTTTTAACTAACTGAGGCGTTATTTCTGAGAGCAAATTGATGTTATGCAAACGTGCGTTCAACCCGCGGCCGCCGTGACGTCATCAGTGCGTCGCGCGCTTCGCGTCAGAGCCAGTACTTGTTAGTTGTAACTTAAATGAAAAGGTTAACTTAAGTATTAACTTATGTCTATGTGGACGACAGTGATACGACATTGGCGCAACTATGCAACGATGTGAAATATGTATTCGCCACAGATCAGTACAACAGATGTTTACGGATTCACATCCAATACATACTTGTGCGGTCTTGTAAATATTCCTAATACAAATTTCAATAATCTTTATTTCTACGATACTTTAATTTTATAATATATTATCATTTCTTTAACACTACAAATTTCCTGACTGTGATATACTTATTAATTAAGTAATTCATTTTTAAAGTATTTCCGAAATGTTTGTTGTAGAGTTGCCCCATGGCCGATTGTGTAAATAGACTAAGCATTTAGCTATAATATACTTACTGTAACTATACTAAACGTATAATAATACTCAATGGTAAATAAAGCTTGCCACTCTGTGCATGTGTTTCATTCCTGAATATCATGAATACCCACACAAAAGCTAAAAAAAGATAACAAAATTCAAGTAACCGTAGGCTTAACACTAACGTTTGGACACGAACTCAGTGAAGGCCAAATCGTGCAAAATGGCAGCGCTTGTGGCAATTTATTTTAGGCGGTTAATTTTACCCCAAATCCGAATAAAATTTCGCTTCTGACACCTGAACTACGTAAATAATTTACAATACCTCTCACAGGATGGCACAGCACTGAACCATAATGCGTAAACAAGCCTCGTTTCAAAGCACGTACCTATAGGTATTTAATTTCGGCTCATGAGCAGGAACCTGTGTTCTATGTTGTAGTTGCAGTATAAGAAGGAGCTACAATTGTCAATATAACAATGTGCACAAAAATGGTTTCAAATAATATTATTTGCAACTTCGAACTTATCTGTTTGCGTTTGAATCTGAAAATATCTGGTATTTTGAGTACGAGTAATACTGACGTAACGGGAAGTCACAATCAGCTGAAGCTACAATCAGCTCAGAAAGATCGACTATCTTTTTGCATTGCTTGGCTATCTATCGGTCCATTTCGGGACGAGAATTCTAGATACGGAAGTAATGTCGTTCATAAATAAACAGCGAAACTTTTTGTGCGTCATTTGCACGGTTTTATTATTACAAGTAAAAAATATTTGAAATCATTTATCACCTTTATTACATCTTTATTATTATTGTGTAGGTAATGATAATTAACGGACTGTTAACTGTCTTGTCTTTGGACTTCCGCTACACTGCAAACATTGAGAGAGTCCCAGCATTCTGGTTCACACGGCTGCTGGCCTCTGGGCGATGGTTATCGATAAGCTACTGTTTGCTTATTACTTGAGAAACAGTGAATATTGATTCTCAATTCATGAGAAGATTACTTGCTTAGGAGCACTGATTATTGCCATTTAGTCTATTCAAATTCACGTTTATGGTTAACATTCAATCTGTCGCAACATTAATAAGAGCTGCCAAATGCTTGTGAGGCTTGTACTATTTATTGAGCATTGCAGGAGCGAGGCATAAGCCCTGTTCGGCACGAATGGCGCGGTGGCGGTGTTACGTCGATAGCCCGTAAGAGGATTACACAAGTAATGCGGTGGCGGGCTCTCATTACGAGGGGATCCCGCCATATTGCCCCTACATTCTCACGCCGCGACACACGAACTGACGCGATAGTGTGAGCGTTGTGTGAACACAAATACCTACATATACATAATAATGTTTCAATATATTTTCATAAGATGACTGAATGTTTATTATACACAGGCATTGTGAGATTGAGTAATCAGGTCGACAGTGGTTTAAACTTTACGTGTTACCGTTTTAGTTCAAGTACTCAATTGTCTTCTGAAAATGGAATATATTTTACCACTGTGTCTTGCATACGATGTAATGTCAACATTTCTTGAGTATTTTTGCGTGGTATGCATGTTAACTCGAACTAGGCGGTCAGGCCACCGGCATATGGCATATGGCACACGCGATTAGCTTTGACGCAACATAGAATTACAACCCTTCTCTCTCGCCCCATATGGCGCCCCGCCGGTCCTTGGTCAGGTTCAACCACATTTAGCAGAAAATTATAGAGACATTTCGCCAAGTACTGCTAACGCATTGGCACTGGAGTGCTTTAAAGCCCCCGTTAAATACGTACTTCAGAATGTTATGTAGGACACCAAAGTTGCTTTCAAATAAGTTTTTGTAGGGGCTTATTCTATCAATGTTGCTTGCCCTTTTTAATTAACATATTCACTACAATACATTCGTTAGTTTTCAAAAGTAAGGAGAATGTTTACTTAATGACCATGTATTACACGTTTTAACGTTTGACATTGTAAAATCCAAGACATTTGCATGTCTCAGATATTTCTGTGACAATCTGTAGGATCTGAAAGTCAGCGGCGGCAAAGTAGTGAGCGGCGCGGCGGCCTTCGGCTGTAGGCGATTGCCAATTTTATAGCACGCAGCACCTACCTAGCATGAATTACTAAGCATAATATTTGAACCATTTGTTAACACAATGGGGTTTATTATCCATATGTAGTTGACGGCTGACACAACCTACAGAGTAAATTCTGTTCACCGCAATACCGTGTAAAGAGTTTGCGTTTGATAAATCTGAATTAAAAGTCGGTCAGTATTGTTTGCAGCCGCTGTTGATTAAGAAATGTTTAAAATGATAGTGTTAAAAAACGTTCAACAGCAGCAATAAAACTATTTATACCTAAGTTCAGACTTGTATATAAAGTTATGAAGGTAATTTATGCAACATTGGGTTTTTTGTTTATTTTTAACATCATGTTAGTTAAGTTAATATGTTGAAGGTACCAATTGCATTGTTTTTGTTCAGTTTTACGCAAGAAGTAAGTTGACGTCAACGTAAAGTAATGTACTTGTTTTGCAGTCGAAGCTGAACTGCGAGGTGCTGTTCGACGAGCTGGCGTTCGAGGTGCGCTGGGCGGTGGCCGGAGACAGTATTGTGCTCCAGCTCGTGGCTAAGTTAGGTGGGCATCGCAAATGGACTTAGCATAAGAATCGATTTTCAATGCACGGTTTTATATAGGTTATGCTGTTGGACGTTTACGTATATGACACAGGGTGACAGAGGTAGATCAAATTTTCGAAAAATTCTCTTCCTTCTGTGAATAATAGACCTCGAAACGGCACAAACGGCAGCGCAATAGTCATGCAATGAGGAATTGTAAATTGGTTTCCGCAGAGGATGGAGAATACATGTCGTTCGGCCTGTCGGGATCTGACGGCCATTCACAAATGGTGGGCGGCGACGTTGCAGTGGCCTGGGTGGACAAGGCGACACTCAAGGGATACGCTCACGACTATTACCTCGACGCCAAAAGCCAGTGCGCTGGAGTGAGAGGCTCGTGCCCGGATGAGAGGCTTGGGGTAAGTGCAATGGTCATTAGATAAAGATATGTGTATAATTTGAAAACACACGTTGCAGGCTTTATGAAATTTAAGCCCGCGATGATGTTCAAATAGTGATATTGCCTTACGAAATCGTGTTCTCTCACAATTTCTTGAACGTGAAGGTACTGTAATATTGACGATAAGCTTTATAACGGAAAATTCTAGTACTTGAACTGTACAATTGTAGGAATATTGGAAGTGTAAACGTAGGTATAAACAAAGAGGGTTGATCGCACACCGATGATTAGCGAAGTGCGAAATAAAACTTTGTTATTAATTCTTTATAGTAGTAGCACCTAGTTCAAATCAAGTGGCAATTAAAGGATTGTTATTTTTCAAAGGGTCTTTAAGTACATGGAAACATTAAAGATCTTCTCTGCAATCCGCTGTTATAAATTAAGGAATCGGTGTATTAAGAAAGCGGGATCAAGTTTAGCGAGGATCCGCAGGTTTACTAGTGGGACACGCCAACTGTTAACGCGACTCTTGGACATCAACACTTACCCTGCATGTGACATGTACTCAATTTGTGGCCAACTTATCGATCGTATAAGAAATACTTAGAGCATATAGGACGGGAGGCGCTATTAGCGTTATTTCTCGAATATAACTTTCTGCCACTTTTTGAGGGGCGGGGGTAATACTACAAGTAAACAGGTGCACTCAAATGCAATATTGAGTTGTGTCACTATGGTTATTATTATTATATGGTTTAACTGCCTCCGTGGCCGAACGGTTACCAGAACGGTCCCAGGTTCGATTCCCGGGCCGGGAGAAATATTTGTATGGCCTACATTTATTTCTCTCGTGAGTTTGGGTGTAATTTGTGGTTGTCTATGTGTGTGTCCATGGCACCCGCGACACAGGGTTTCCCTAGTGCGGGGCTATGTTGAGTGTGAGCGTTATTATTATATTATTATTATATGGTCTCAAACAAACAAAAATCGACAACACTAGCACATTTTTACAAATACACAGATAAAACACACATTCATGTCATGTCCGTACACAGAATAGGCCTAAGTATAGGAAAAATGTAATTCCACCCCATAGCTAGACTGGATGTAGGAGATATTTTTTTGCAAGTTTGTATGTCGCAAGGCGACATAGAAATAGAAAACGTTTATTTGCCACATTACAGTACTTATACAAATCTAAAATAAAAATAGGTACAAGGTATTCAACCCGTAAGCAGGTGTGCAAATATTAATTGAATTAAATATTTTGATCTCTAAAACGAATTTTTGAAGTTTTTTTGTTGAAGTTGAATTTGAAGTGCAAATCAATACAAATTAGCCATTTTGGCAATTGAATGTAGGTCCGTGTAGTAATTTAAAACCATTCGGTAAACTATTGAAGATCTTTATGCACATATTGAAGCAGTTATTCTTATAAATTAATTTATGGCTATAATTATATACTATAGGTTGGTATAAAAGCTTATAATTTTAGCTCTGGTTTGCCTCTGTATCACTTCACCACGTGTTATAAAATATCGAAGATGAATGTTCACGAATACGCAGATGTCCCTTATGTACAAGCACGGCAAAGGCAGTATGTTTAGTTTTTTGAACAACGGTTTGCAGCTATCATCGAACCGCGTACCACAGATCGCTCGAATACACTTCTTCGGAACCTCGAATACTCTTTCTAAACCTACTGTGTTGTCCCATAGTATAAGACCGTAGCTGAGCACGGACGAAACGTAGCCGTGATAGGCCATCAGCGCCGCTTCTCGAGAGACAATTTGCCTTAGTCTTCGCAGAGCGTAAACAAATCTATTTAGTCTCATACAAATTTGTTCGATGTGATCCTTCGAATTATGATGTTTATCGATTGTCAATCCAAGAAAGTTAATACATATCGAACTCTAATAGTAATATTTTCATACACAGGTTTCAGTTTAATAATGTAATTGTTGCACTTCCACGCCAATGTTTTGTCTTTTTCCATTAAGTAAAATCTTTTGTGTGGTGCATTACAACAATCTAGATGATATGTTAATTTGCAATATGAACATACGCCATCTTCAAGGGATTAGGTGAAATTTACTTAAGAATAACCTTAGTAGCCGTACCAGGCAACAGGTGGCGCCACGTGTAGTATTTTTTGAAAATTGATCCGTCGTTATAATTCGATCAGTCAAAAATATCGATTTGAAAGTAATGTTTATTGTGCGATAGTTGTTTTGTGCTAGTGCCTTAATAGGGGGATTGCCTATCAATGACGCCTCCAGTCCTATATGCTCTAAGAAGAAACACTTTCTCTTAAACTTTTTGACAGACAGGTTTAGGCTTATGTTTTTACCTTAGAGGATGGTAAAAATATACAATTTTAAAAAAAAAAAAAGGTTACCTTGCACACCACGCAGCGCCACGCAGAGGTCCTAGGTTCGATTCTCGAGCCGGGAGAAATATTTGTGTGGCCTACATTTATTTCTCTCGTGAGTTTGGGTGTAATTTGTGGTTGTTTATAATGTTTGTTCATGGCAACCGCGACACAGGGTTTCCCTAGTGCGGGGCAATGTTGATTGTGTGCGTTATTAAAAAAAATACTAATGTTTTCGGAGATTATTTGGTTGAAATGTACCACTTTTTGGTTGAAATGTTTGGTTGAAGTGTATACATAAAAATGTGTATTTTCATGCAGGTAACTGTATGTATAGTAAAAGTGTGAATTGTGTCTTAAAGTTATTTTTTAATTGAGCTTTAGTAACGAGGTTTATGTCCAGCAGTGGAAGCATGATGGTGATGGTGATGGAAGCTGATGATGATGAATGACTAAAGTCAAGCAATGGTAAATAAATCTTTTCCAATGTTATTTTAGGAGAAGACAAACTCGATCCGTCTGCTGAACGCTGCTTTGGTGAACGGCTACTCGATCGTGACGTACCAGCGCAGCCTGCGCGCCGCTGATGAGCTGGACCGGCCGGTGTTCACAAATCGGTCGCAGCCCATCATCTGGGCGCTCGGTCCGCTCAATTCACGTGACGAGGTCTCCTACCATCACCATTTCACCAAGGTAACCCCGTCATTTCTTATATTCTGCTGCATCTGCACGTATTTAACTATCAGGAGGTCGGGCTTAAGGTACAGCCGATTAATTTCGATGCATCGTTATATGTATAGGGCGACAAATTCATCGAGTTCGGGCGTCCGCCGCTGTGGAACTGTCCCATGCCGGAGGGCGAAGACGAGACGCGCCCTTCTACCAGTAATGCATCCCAAGCATCTTCTGCCGAAGAAACCGTAAGATCTATTAGCAATCGTAATCAAAATAATATATAATACCCTATACCCTAAAATTATCCCTTAATTAAAATTTAAAAAAATACAGAAAGTAAAAATCAAGCCGAATCCAGTCCCGACGCCGGCACCTACGCCGAGTGTACAGCCATGGGAGATTCCTGCCATCCAGTGCTACGAGCCTCCGGATGGCGTGTTCTACGCCCAAATGGGTCCCACGGGCGGCAAGCAGGGTTACTCTGCCATCACAGGCCATGTGGGCTGGGGTATTTCATGGTATATCAACGGGCTGCTCATTCCCGAGATCACGGTGGTGCGCGGCAAGCGATACACGTTCGTCGTCGAGGGTGGATCTGACCCCGACGTGCCAGCGAGATATCATCCTTTCTATATCACTAACGACCCTGTTGGAGGTTACTACCATAAAACGGATGAGGAGAAAAAGGTTCGTTTAGGTCTTTGATCGTCCTTGAGAGGCTACAGTATATTTTGAAATAGTGATTTACCAACTCTTTTATTATATTTATTTAATGTGAACTTCATAGAGCGTGGACATCTATGCGGGCGTACGGCGCACGCGTAGCGGCGAACTGTTGCCTACGGGCGTAGGCCGATTGTGTAACTGGACGCCCGACACGGCGGGTCCTGAGGCTGACGAGTTCCCTAGCTTTGGCGCCTATCAGCGCAGCCTCACCCTTATCTGCGAGGAGGGCAACCCCGGCGTTGTTACGTGGATTCCTGACAAGAACACTCCAGATACTGTCTACTATCAGGTTAGATTAACACTCATCACCATCGGTCTACATAATCGTATCTTCAGATACCACGAAGTCCACAAACTCTCATGCTATAACGCCTTTCAATTTAACATGCTACTCCAATGACTTAATCTCATTTGTTCATCATTGTAATATGTGTGTATTTATGTCTTAATATTTGAAGTTCATAATTTACCTCTATTAATGTTATGGTTATAACATCATGTAGCTTATAATTTGATATACATAAGTCACGAATCAAACAATATTCAATTTCACTCACTCTGCATGTATCATACAACAAACTTATAATTCAGTAGACCTCTAGTAACTACTGTACTGTATACTGTACAACTTACTTTTCATTTTGTTCTGTACTCTAGAACTCTGATGTACATAATACTCTCTGTTTTCTGTTTCAGCCTTCCAAGCCTTCTTGTAACGCATGAGATCTCTCAAAATGTGCAAAGATGGTGACAGATTTGATTGTTAACTTGAAAACATTCTGAGATTAACGTGCGTTTTATGTTTCAGTGCTTTACACACCGATATCTCGGTTGGAAGATAAACGTTGTGAACGAATGTGATTACGAAGCCGAAGAAAGCACACTGGTGCAGACAGTTTTGAATCACGAGTCGCCCGAACCAGATCTAGAGCAAGAGGAGTCGATACAGGTACATAGTCGAGTCAGACCGGACTCTAACTTTCTTGATGAGCGCAGGAAAATCGAGAAAATAATCAACACGAAAACGAATTATAACGATTTCAGTAGCGAAAAAGTCAGCGTCGGCCTTACGGGTGAAATACTTAGACCGGAGAGCGAAAGGAACCCGTTGCATAACCAACCACAGGAGTATGAATTGCCACCGATAATAACCAATGGACAGATTCGCGACGTCATCGAGGCAGTGGAGAGTCTGGAGAACAGCATGAAGGAACATGCTCAGAGGAATATCTCGCAGCCTTCACAGCATCGTTATCAGGTGTACGAGAACGTTAAGGAGATGTTCGTACCAGAACAGCCTGTGCACGAAGAGGACGAATACGTTGTTGAGAAAGGAAAGGTGCCCAACAGTTACTTTTTGCCACCAAATCAAAAACCTTTGACACTCCAAAGTGTACTTAAGCCAAATGGCCCAAATAAGATGAATGGCAACATGCGCCCTCCCTTCCGTCGACCTGTACCACCAGAGATTAAGCTACGCAGGCCACCACCTCATTCGATGAACCAGAAACATACCGGCGGTTTCCCACTACCCATGCCGAACCATCATGGGCTTCATGGAATGCCGAAAAAACCTTACAACAAGCCACCTTTCTATAGAAATCCACCAAATAATCGTCCGCCGTTGCAGCAGTCACCCAGTGGCACTTCACCAATGAATAGGTCTCCTGTAAACCACCAATCCCCAACACATCACCCCAAACCTATGTTCAATAAGATTCCGTTCCAGTCACCCCCAACACAGAAACCTCAAATAATAAAAGTGTACAAACCACCCAATAGTCCTGTTCAATCCATAATTATGGGTAAACCTACTCCCGGCAATGTTCTACTGCCCTCTCAAAGCCAAACATTGAATTTGGGTCGCACCGACATAATTGCTAACCAAATAGTAAAATCACAAATTATGCTACCGGGCACTAGTGATTCGATTGGTCAATCAAGTATTCAGCAATCATTCATAAACCAGCCTGGACAGATAATTCTCGGCAAACCGATGGACCACCCAGTGCCTTTAGATCAACAGATGGCTCCCACTAAACTTCATGTTGTAAATTCTCCTACACCACCTCCAGAGTCTAGGTCCTCTACTTATCGTATCCGTTTACTCGGTGATAAATTGCCAGCGCTAGCAAGCGATATCAAGTCTTCAGATTTCATCGGTGAATTCACTGAACCTTCAACGTTGCGTCCTGCAGTAAATACGGGTTTCAAACCAAACACTATTGTTATTGAAAGCGGCTTCAAGCCTATCATCAGAGAACCTTTGATGGATAGATCGAGTGACTACGATACTGATAACAAATCTAATATGAATAGGAGAGAAGACACCGATGTGGAAGAAGATTATGAGGAATCACCGCAACCAATTGCAAACCATGCCTACAAAACACCCAGTGATAAGATCACAGAGACCTTCGAACCCATGTTCATTCCCTCGCCTCCCGACTATTTGCTTCAAACTAATGATCGAACTAAAGAAGTATTCCCAAAAAACCACGCAAAAGAAGATAGACCGCACCCGGTATACATGAAATCGGAGAGTAAGCTAAACACCTTGTTCAGCCAACAAAATATGGAAAAAGAGGTACCATTGGACATGGTTATGGAATCTGATAGAGTTAGTCCACAATATTTGCCGCCGGACCCAAAACTACCTAACGAACAATCTCAGAAATTGACGAAAAATGAACAGACTTATACTACTTACGACGGTAAAACGATATCTGCTGCCACCCTCACCAGCGTACCAGATATTAAACCGTTAGGTCCAAAGCTTTACTCTTCAAAATTACCAGCTAACACCGAGCTTTTGCTGAAGACACCACAATTCGGACCATTCAAAGGTGAAATACCACCACTAATGAATGGACCACTGGCTATTATCCCTCATAATGATACACAAAAACCAATAATAGATACGAAAATCACACACTTGAAGTTGGTGAACGCATTCCAACCAGAAAACGAAGCAAAAATTGACGACTTGACAGCTGAAGGTAGCGAGAAGCGTGAAGTGACGACGAAAAGCAGTGACAAAGGTGAAGTGACTACAGAAAACGATAAAGAAGAGGAGGAGTATGGAGAAGGTGGTGACTCTGAAAGTTACGAAGGTGAAGAGGAAACCGTGAGGAAAAGGCGTCGAAGAGACACTAAGGCAACTCAGTTTGAAAGAGGTGAAGTTGAAGAACAAACAAATAAGAAAATAAGTGGTGATACGAAAAATCAGATAGACTTCCGTAAAACATCAAATAATGCGTCCAAACTAAATTGGTCCAGCTTAATTTTATTATCAGTATGTCTTAAACTCGTTTAAACTATGTAAACTATTTATTTATTTAATATTAAATTATGTAAGCCTTGCCATTAAATGCATTTCGTGTCCGTTGTAATTGTAGTGGGGTGTTAGGCTGTGGGACATTACACTTCTGGCATTGTGCTTGGTTCGCCGACGAAGCGACCGCTCTACTTGACTCAGCATCTGTTACCACTTGACTGCATAATGCAATTCAATACTCCGTTAGTTTTAAGGGTTTTGTAAATATTTCTATTTTTAATAATAAATTTAGTATATTTAACCAGGTTTTCATTTTATCGTTTTTATTAAACGTCAAAAAAATCCCTCCTCTCTTCTTCCCAGTTTGGATCACAGAACACTATACTCACAAGGAGGTTTGGATACTCGGGAATTGGCCTACTTGTCTTTAGTACTAATATAAAAGTTCTTTCTGTTCTTTGCGATTAGCGACAAGAGCACCATTGGACCTAATAAATCAGACAACTAACGAAAATATAATAGAATATTTATTTATTATCGGTGTTTTGTAGAAACTGTAAGCGAGATTTTTTCAGGGGAGCATGTTTTAGGTTTTAACTACTGTTTTGAAATAATTAAGACCTGCTTTAAAATTTTTAATATAATTAGGTGTAAATTGAATTTTAAAACAGTCGTTAAAACGTAGCGCGTGCTCCTCTGACTGACTTTCTACGAAATATCGCTTACGCCGTTTCTATAAAACACCGACTACACAATTAATGTATCAAGTCTGAAACTGAAGTTCGAGATTGGTCATTTAAAATTCCGAATACTGTACAGTGTATTTTAGTTGTTTATACATTTTTCGGCCTCGTTCGGTAATAAGTTGGACCTATGTAGTTTTTGGCGACTAAATAAAAATCCATTTAAGCATGAAGGCAATTGCACAAGCTTTAAAACGAAGTTGGATTTAGAACGAAGTTGGTTGTAAGTATCGTCTTGCCTTTATAACGCGTGGGAATAAAATGTTGTAATGCATTGGAATGTGTACGGCAGTTTCGTAGACTATAGATTTCGAATGATAAAGAAAGTCTTTCAGAGCTAGTTCGAAGAAAAATAAAGTAAATCAATGCATATTTTAACATGTTCTGAACTACGCAAAAAATGTCTGATTGATATAAATTAACTTTGATAGTTTTATGTTGAGCCCCAAAAGTAAGACAAATGAACATTAAAAATGCAATTTAGACAAGTAAATGTTGATTATATTTGTATACTAATATTATATTAATTATGATATAATTTGACCTGAAAACACGTTCGGAAACACAAGAAAATTGGCTTCTGGCAGTCGCCGGTCGCTGCCGCGACACGCTCGCTTCGTTCGTGCTGATTTTTCATATACTAACCTTTTTTTTTATTTTGTTAATCCGGGGGAATCTGCTTACAGATACCCCGGCCCCGCGGGGGCAGAGTCGGGGTTATGTGGGACTGGGCTGAACCCTGAAGGGGAGCAGCCCGACCGCACTAAACCCCCGGAGTGTTCCTCCTCTCCGCTATAGGTGGGGGTACGGGTACGCTGTTGCACTCGTCCGCGCCCCCACCAGCGGCTGGCGGCGCCCTGCGCAGCCCCTCCTCGAGAAGGGAGACACATCGGTCCCCCGACTCCGAATGTGAGGCTCGCCGAACACCAGACGACCCTTCCATCCCGGGCCCCTTTATGCAGGGCAACGAACTCCCCCGAGTCCGCTACCCAGGGCCAAGGGGGGCCAGGACAGCATCCACTCAACTGTGAAGTTCAGTGGCTGCTCCCCCAGCCCCCGCGGCGGATCTGATGACAGGCTCCGCCGCAACACCTAACGCACTTCCGCGCGGACTGTCCGAAGAGAGTCCCTTGGAGCGCCCACCACGGGCCAACCGCCCACGTTCGGCCGCGGAGGATAGGACGAGCGGCAACGACACACCGACACGTCTCTTCCCCCGCGGCCCCGCCACTGCATCATTAAAAGCGGTGTAGCCCCGCCAGAGTCGCGGAGGACAGGACGAGCGGCAACGACACACCGACACGTCTCTCCCCCCGCGACCCTCCTCCTCGCGCAACCGCGCGGTCCCGCTGACCAGACGAGGCCCGCGCGGAACGCCCTCCTCCTCGGGCCAGCCTAGCACCATCGGCCGGCCCCGTGGGTTCCTCTTAGCTTCACCGTGGGATGAAATTAACCACGGCTACTAGAGCCCCCGCGCCACGACAAGGCGGGAACCCCTTCGGGGGAGTTCATATACTAACCTAACCTAACTTTTTTTTTTATTACCGTGAGGAAAATGCGTTACGTATTCCCCGCCGCTGGGAGACGGCGGGGATATGTGGGATTCTCTTCTGGGGACTATATCGGTCCCCACGAGTATATTCACTAAAAACCTCACGATGTTCCTGCGCGCACCTGGCGCCGGAGCCGCGGGGTCCCTTTCAGATGCTACCGCGACTCCGGTGGTGCCGGTCCGCCTTTGGGCGGACCCCATCTCCCGGCGGCGGAGGTCTGTGCAATGCAGGGGCTAGGTCTCCCAACCCTGCACCCTGCTGGCTGCCGCTGATGGAATGCAGGCGGTCGGCGAAGAGCCGTCGCGTGCGTCCTCTCCGCCGACGCCGAATGGGGTCGCGGACCCGTTCGGCCATCTCCTTCTGCGACATCACGTCCTCGCAGAAGGAGACCACACAGGCGGAACTATTAATATATATCGCCATCCCCAGAGAACAAAATGATAATCGCAACAAAGTAATAATATTTCGGGAAAAATATAGCATAGCTGGTCCCTCCCAGACTACTTGCTTTTATAGGAATTGCTGTAGCATGTCCATATAAATATACAATGCTTTGCCTGCAGCTATCGCAGATTTACCTATAAAAATATTTAAAAAAAAGTTATTTGATTTGCTATGTGATCTGTATTTATACGATATCAAAGACTTTTTAATAATAAAAAGAAATTGAGATTTTGTTTGTATTTGACATTTTGTTTATATTTGTGCTGTTCTTGCTTCTTTTCTATTGTTTAATTTATGATGTTGTTGCTGTTGCTATTTATTGGCATTTTTACTTAATTTTATATGACATTGCTTATTTGACAAATTGTATAATTTTAATTTATGACGTTATTTAACTTCCATTTATTTTAATATTTGCGTGCCAGTATCTGGTGCAACTCGTGTTCTTGACACCTTGAATAATAATATCTTCTCTTACCGTGTTTGCTTGCGAATAAATATTTCATTTAACTTCATTTAATATCATCTTATTCTCGTAAACATAGTATTTATATTTATATATACATATATTTATATAAAGATAAAGATATATAAGATATATAAGAATTTTTTTTGGAAAGGTCTTTTATTCTGCTATTACAATGAAACCATGATATGATAATTTGCTTTATTACACGAACAGCCCGACCAGTTTAAAACGGGAATAAAATATGATAACTGCGTGTATCGTTATTTCGCGTAATTAGTTTTACGAGAACGTAATTCTATTGTCATTTGTCATATTAAAAAACGTAACTCATTTAGTTTAATATTATCATATAACCCATATATAACCTGATATAATCTTATTCTTGTGCATTTGGGCATGGGTAGAAAATTTGAATAATATTGTGTTATTTTGTTATTCCGCAAGTAACTGCTTAAAAATCACGATTTAAAAAAATTTAAAAGATGTATTGGTACCTAAAAACCTTAAATATGATATAACACTAAAACTGTGATAATGGCAGTTACCTTTTTGTTCTCCGGGCATGGCGATATTGTCAAACATAAAAAAAATATCGTTTAATTAAAAAAATACATATTTACAATAGATCTTTAAGAATCAAATAATATTATGACTTTTGTTATTAAAGGAAGCTCATTAATTACTCAATAAAACCAATTTCGACCAATACATTTTTATTTCGTTATCCGTAAAAACCTGAGAAAAGTGTTCAAAGTTACCCAACTTCACTGTATGATGGAAGACAAAAAAAACAAACTCGAGTTATTAAAGCCCTCTCTCCGGCTTCGGGCTTCTGATACAGCCTCCTTAGTATCTTCTTTATTACCGTCCTTAACATACAATGTACTTGAAACCTAAGTCCACATTACGAGTAGTCACAGTGCATTGTCCCAGAACACCATTTAGTTTTTTAACAAGGACACATACAACAAAGAGTTTATATTTATGATTTTATCAAGCATGCGTACCTTGTGTACATGAATGACCAGTTTAATTCAAATATACTTATACTTTCAAATTGTGCTTTACAGTTTAGTCAAACTATAGCTCTATCTCCGACATGCGCCTCTGATTTGATTTGGTGATACATCAGTTGGTCTTGAATAGCGTGTGCAGGCTTGAGATCTTTTTGGTGAGGCGTGTGAAGTTAGCCAGCGCCTTCTCGCGCGGGAACTGTGAATCAACTAGCCGCATCACCGACTCACGCCTGCGACCACTAAAAATAATAGAACGAAAAAAATCTAGAGACAGCTTGGGCTTAAAGATGAATAGGTGGTAGATGCTTACAGCCTGTTCCTCAAAAGGCGCGCGGCTGCCGGCAGCGCGAGGCCTGCCCTGTCCACAACGTCCACGTCGCTGCCGCGGCAGATGAGCTCCTTGATCAGTGGCGTTTCCGCGCCCTGGCATACTGAAACCATTAAAAATAAACTTAAAATAGTACTTTTATAAAAAGGCAATTCTTAGTGTCGTCTAAATGTACCTACTAGCCCTGAAAAGTGGCGTCCAGCCATTGTTGT